AAAGGCCACATCTCAGGGGGAGAAACACTTCCATAAATTCTAACTATATCACTTCTGAAAACTCCTAGTAGTGTGATTACAAGTTCAGTCAGAAGCTGAAAATAGGTTTGGCAACAAAACGCCTTGTGAAGAGCAGATCAGAAAGCCTAACTATCCCTCTCTTTGCTTCCACATACTTTGTGCTGCAGTTCTTGCTGTAAACTTCACTGACCCAACAGTGCATGCCACTAGCTGATTTTAAGCAAAGGTTTAAAATGATTCCATCTCCCTCCTGTACCCTCCCTCAATCTCAAATTTCAAGATCTAGGAAATGAAGAGCTTGATGGTACAATTACAACCAGAACATGATAAATGTGGGCTCAAGCACAGAATGAAAATTCACATAAAATGTCCAGGCATGGCTGTTGTCCATCACAGACAAAAAAAACACAGCTAATGATGATGACTATATTGAAAAGTAGTGTTTTGTAGCTGAGAATTTATTAAATAGCATTGTTGTGTTCTTTGTATCTGTTGCAGTTTCCACAGAAGTAAATTGGAGGCATTATTTTCAGAGCAACCAACATACAAGCAAATTCAAGAAAACAAATAGATTTATCACATGCAGTTTCACCCCACTTTCAGTGATGTTAAAATAAAAAAGATCCATTTATTGCAAGGCCCTATGATATTTCAGATGCCATTTCTTAAGGGACTCTTTATTATCAGTTTTTATGTAGTTCAAGGTCAGTCTAATTATCTGAAATATATCACTACTCTTTTTACCATCTTTACTTCTAATTTTATTCAATGGTTATACTAATATTAACTCCAGATGAATGCAAGAAGTCATAAATTACTCGATATGATTCACTAGAAAAGTTAGTATTTTAGTAAAGAGCATAGATCAGCACATAAAAAGAAACAAAAAACTTAAGTACAGACCCAGCATAAGCTAACACTATAGATTCCCTGAGAGCAGTCAACTCAGAATTACGAGCAAAAATCACTCTGCAGAGACAACCCCAAAGCATCTGCCCTGGTTGTGAATTTCTCCTTTTATTTCTCAAGTTAATCCTGGTTTTAAGTAATCGTGTATGTATGCATTTTTAAAAAATTAAGTAATCTTTATAAATACTTCAAAATTAAAAAAAGAAGAAAATAATATATTCTGGGAACTAAGATGATATTAGATTTTTTTCTATTTAGAATAGCAATAGTAACACACAAAAAACCATGGTTTAAAAGCAGATCCGTCAATTAATTGTGGTATTGATCAATGACCCAACTACATATTTCCTTCCAATCAGTTGAAGCAAATAAAGCCAGCCTGCTATAAAATACATGAAAAAAGCTACAGCAAGCTAGAAGCTGCTCTGAGGAAAAAGTTAAATAACGCCTGTGATGTACCAAAATTCATCGACTGTTTCAATTACAAATTGAAATAGGCCATTTCAAGACAGGGAGATATTTCAAGATTATGTGGCACAGTAGGCCCCTTAATGCCTAAACAAAAATGGGGACAACCTCATCCATGGCATCACCTTTAAGACCTGTCTTCCTTAACTCAAGCTTTCCAATCAATGATCCATCAGCTGCATGCCAGAGATCTCCAGGAACTTGTGCCCCCTGTAAGGGGTTTGAGTTGTGGGATCAGCACTTCATCTGCTGATAAAAATACCAATTGGCACATTCAGAACTAGGCAAATGCCTGAGATTCTGTGATACCCTGACAGACTGCACATCCCCGATTTGTAGGTTGCCCTAAAAGTAAATCCTCCTATTTATTTCTATGGCAACTACAACAGATACAAAGAGCACAATGACAATATTTGATAGATACCAGGCTCACATGGGCAGGGGCTCCTAACACAAACAGCTCACCCTTTGCATATGGATGTACAGAGCATGTTGTCTGCCAAACTGAAGCCATTTTGCAGTCTTAACATAAAATAAATGCCTTGCAGCCTTGGCCCTGACACTTGCAACCTTTACAAACATCACTTCCATATTTAAGTTCCAATGCTTAGCAGCCCAGGTGTGCAGGGCGATGTAGTTAACAGCTGCCTAGGAAGATGATGTCAATGAGAAAGGTGCAAATAGGGAAATACCAAAGTACTCAAAGACTTGGACATAGAATTCTACACCTCACTGAAAAATAAGCAGGTTTAACAACAGAATTACAATATTCCTAATTAGCAAATAAGTTTACCGCATAACAAACTCAAAACCTTGCAACAACATAAGAGACCAGTGAATACTTATGCAAGAAGATCGTTGCGCCAAGGCAGTCAGCCACACACAGCCAGTGGCCTGGTCCAGGGACACGTGCAGGAAGCGGCTGCAGCAGAGCCTTGATTATTATTATCTGTGTCAGCACGTCAACGGAAAGAGCTTTCTACTTTCCAGTCACTTTTTGAGATTAGCCTTTTTTCTTAAGTGTTTCACTAATTGTTTTTTCTTCATTTGCATCAGCAGGAGACCCAATTATAGCTCTATCTTCAATTTGCAATAACCTCCTTTTTAAATAGCCTAAGTCACCTTTTCACCTTTTATTACCGAGATAGCATAAAGGTCTGATAGAGAAATAGTGCGGATCCTAAATTCCATTTTTCAGAAATAGGATTTTCTAATTGTTGGTCACTTTCTGTCATTTAATTTAAATCACATTTACATCCTAATATGACCTAGAAGAAACTATTTCATGGTTTTCTGTATGCAGTTTTAGTTTTTAACATCATCTAAACTACTCCCTATTGTTGCAGATTAAAATCCTCACTCCTCAGCTTCAGAAAAAGAAAAGAAAAAAAAACAACTTTCAGCAAGCTTACTCCAGAAATATTATCACCGAATCTATTGTCACTCATTGGAAGTTTTGTTTTTTAAAGTAAATAAGTAGGCTATCTATCCTTGGGCGTGCAGGCTTAACCTTGAAAGCTGCTGTATGAGGCAGACTGATACGTATTGGATAAACAGAGCTGAACAAACTGGGGCAGCACTTACTTGGAGTAAGTTCCCAAGATGCTATTAGTTGTGATTTCAAAGAGACAGCTCTCACTTCCACCTGGCAAATGCAATTATGCAACAGAAGTGAAGCTCAACAAAATAAAAAACAGCTCAAACCACCAATTTCTGGAATGACGTGCACAGTCTACTTTATATGTATTTGAGGAGCAATGACAATAAATCAAAGGAACGTTCTCATACTAAAAACCTGAATCTCCATAAAACCATCCAGTTTTCACTTGAAAATAATCTTATCATCAGTTAACAGAATAGCAAGTGTTTTAATATAGCATATGTAAACTGGATTTTAGAGATGCGTTAACAAAAATCAATGTATTATTGAAAAAGAGAAGAGTTTTGTAAGCTTTGAAGAAAAATGAGCCTCATTGAACTTCAGTAAGGACAAACTCTTTCAACTCAACATTAAAAAAACTCACTACACACACTGGAGAAAAGGAAGGTTAAAGAGGGACACAACTGAAATCTTTAAGATGCTGGAGGAACTAACAGGATAGTGCTCTTCTTGCTTTTCAGCAGGCAAACACTTTGAAATAATAGCCAACTCTGACAGGTCACTAGCAAGGTTGGTGCTTCTTCACCACGGTAAATGAGTTGATACCTGCAAATAACTTGGCACCAGAAAGGGAGACGCATTTCTAAAGCAGCACATTACTTTAATCTACTTATGAAAAACAAGAAGTTTCATAGGCAGCATTTGTATTTTCTTATAAAAAGCATAAAGCAGTCCTAATGCTTCCTCATTCTGCCTTTTGATACTCCCAACTGTCTGTATAGCCTTGACTCTACCCCTAACAGTAGAAGTTCAAGTCCAAGTGATCAGTCAGAAATCGTTTGCAGAGCAGAAGCTGTTGTTCCAAGCTCTGCTTCCCCATTTCTTGTAGGCTGGGATCTTTTCAATAGCTCAGAAGCACTAAGTGCTTCATGCTGCTCTCAGCTGCTTCCTCTTCCTTTGAGCATTTAAGGCAGCTAACCCAGCCTCTACCCCTGCACAGATCTTGGTGATGTACTTGTGACACAAGCATATGGCTGACAAAGCTTTCTGCAGCAGTTAGGTTTAGATTCTGCTGCACTTTCACACTGTTAGAAGGAAAGCACTGCAAACAAAGCATCTATAAATAAGTATACGGTCACAGCAAGAAGAGAAAGGTAACTGAAGAAACAAAAAATCTTAAAACCTATTTTACTGACGTTTATCCTGTCCACTACAAATCACACCTAAAAATTCCAGCATTAAAATAGCAGCTATAAATACACTTGAGAACTTGAAAGCTGAAGTTTTAAATTGATAAAAAAAAAACAAAAACAGTAAGCCAAAATCCACAACTGAAGGATAACATCTATCATCCAAGCCCAGGACCTAAGAACACATGTGGTTCCTAGTTTGTCTGGAAAGATCTGTAATAGCTTCTTGCACAGACCCCACATGTAAAATATTCACTTACTGATACCTGTGGAAAATAATCCTACAAACTGTACCATTAAAAAGCTTCATTATCTGAGACACATTGGGAAACCGCTCAAAAGAAATAGCTTTACAACTTAAAATCATTAAGTTTGATCAACTCCACTTGGGAGGTGGGAGATGCTTTTCAGGATTTGCTATTCTGGAACTGTTATTTGTTTTCTCTCCTCTGTTCTAGAATAATAAATTTTCTAGGTTCTGGGCAAGTGCTACAGCTCCAAAAAAACCCCTTTATTTTCCAAACAGAAGACCAAATGCAGAAGCATTTTAATCCAGTATTGCATACACTCTCCTCTCAAAGAGTTTCATTTGTACACGTTACGTAAATACTATTGGAGATAGACCAAGAAATGTATGCATTTCTTCTTTTAACCAAATCTCTTGTAATTAGCAGTGGGACACAATAGGCATAAAGAAACATGATAGGAACCAGCTTTTCAGCATGATGAACCAAGATACATACAATATTCCAACCTGAAAACAAATACCATTTTCACTGCTGCTCTGAGTACAATTAATAAATAACACTTACCATAGGGTGACACGAAGAAGTGGTGAGCACCATGAAAGCAACACGAGTGGCAGCAGCGTGACAGGGTCTGTCCTCCCACCCTGCACACTCACAGAGCCATCAAGAAGTGCAAAAGGAGAAGAAAAAATAAAAAGGAACAAAAAAACATTTCCGGACTCAGGAGCCACACTGATCGATGGGCACAGTGCACACACAGTGACTGCAACGTGGCTTATAAACCTGAGAGAGATCCTGGCCTGCTCCACATGCTCAGATTTTCTTCTCGTGCAGCTACCTCTGCCACTTATCTAAACTAACCAGTCAGAAAGACTTCTGCTTGCAAGTTTCCACACCTTTAGGCAGGTTCAGCACCATTGCCATGAGCAAAGCTGAAGTCAGAAGAGCAGCACCCACATAAATGGCCGCAGCTGTGCTCCCTCAGCAGCACTGAGGAGGCAGTGCCAAGGCTGGGGCCTGCAAGGGAGGGAGACCCAGGGGGCACCGCCAAGTGCCTTCACTTATGATGGACGCAGGTGAAATGCGTTAGGCCTTTGGGAAGGGCACAGTTCTACACCTGGTAAATCACACAGGTGGTGAATCAGAAGGAATGTAGTAGGGTAAGAGCCCAGCTTCCTCACCTCAGGAAAACCAATATGGAAGATGGATTCCAGCTGACGAAAACATGATATTAATACAAAAAGAAACAGGTTGAGGATTACTGGTACCCCTACAGTAGCTGTGGTAAAAACAAAGCCCACCTGGCTTCTAAACCGGGGCTGGAATCTTCCCCCATCCCAGTGCACCAACACCTTTTCTCAGGCACTGCTGCAGAAACCCTGAGCGCCCTCCTCCACAGCTAGGAGCAAAGCAAAATGCCTGCTGACCTGGGTGCCTGCTTCTGTCCTCAGCATGGCGGCCCTGCCTGCTTTCCAGGCACACACTCTGCGACCCCTGAAGCAAACAAAACCCTGCACCGATGTTTGAGGAGAAAAATCCAATTCACCAGCCTAAAAAGAGGGCCTCACATCTGATTCAGAGCGGTGGTCTTCCTCACTAGACTGCAAGCCTCCTCTGCAACAGGGGGTGGACCCAGAGACAATCCACTCAATGCTGCTGCAGGAATGCACAAATAGCACTGCTATGTTTTTCTGCTTTTATCACAAATGCCATAAACCTAAGCATTTTGGAAGTTACGGTATTTAGAGGAAAGAGTTGCATTTTTCTTTGGCCAAATTATGTGCCAAATTTGAAACAAATGCATGGATACATTCATCTACTCCAAACCTGCAGTCTTTAGGTGAAATTATTTTGAGTCATAAGTCGAGATAGATGTTCCTGTCTGCAGCACACTAGTCAAATAATAACTTAATAACAAGGTAGTATATATTCGGTTACTTATAGGAAGTATATTCTGAACTACACACATACATAAGACAGCGCATTGCCAATGGAGAATCCCTCTAAACTCACAGGTCTGCGTTTCAAGAAAAGATCATTCCCAAGTCATCCCTACTGATGTACTCTGGCATAAGGGGCAGTGAAATCCCGAATGTTCTGTGTTTCCAAAAGGTTTCCAACTTGAGAAACTTGGAAATAAACGCCTGAACAAATGAACAGTTCACCATGACCAGTTCTCCAGGGTATGCTGCATTGGATCACTGGATTTACATGACTCAATTCCTAGGTGCATGCAGAAGCATCACTTTTTCTGCATCAGACAATACCACACACACGCAGACAGCATTTGCTGAGGATTTCAGGATAGTGTTCCAGGTCATGGGACTTGCTGGAAATACATGTTCAATTTTTTTCCATATCAGGAGAAATGGGATAAATGGAGCTGCATAATAGCCCAGACCTTATTTATCAGTCTTCAAAACCATTATCCCAGGATGTTTATCTCTTGCTTTAAGTAGCCAGCATATCCAAAATGCCAGCAGGCAATAGCTACAGAATGCTGCCAAAAACACGTACAATATGATGTCTAAACAAAAAAAAACAGGTCTATAAGATGAAATCCTAAACATGATGCTGTCATTCTTTTACTCTTTATCTAAAATTTAGCAGGTGTGCCATCCTCTTTTTTTTTTTTTTTTTTTTAAACAGGTGGAAAATGTCATCTTGTCATGAGAGATTTGATGTAAAATACTCCAACACTCCATTGCAGTGGTTTATATATCTCAATGTTCATCACATAACAATGGGATACAATAGCTTTTTTGTTCTCTGAACCATAATTTAGTTTGTCAGCTACTGGCAAATATATTTCACTGTTGCACCCCACAAACATGTAAAAATATCAAATGAATTGTATTGCTAATAATACGGTTGTAAGTCATTCATGGCAATTAAACTTGCATTACAATTAAATCTCTCCTGACCACAATGATGTTCCTGTTATGCCATTTTATTACTGCACAGTGTAAAGTACAAATAAATGTATACCCAGCAAGAAAATCTAATGAGCAATGCTTGCTTGTTTTAAGTGCTTTTAAATGCTGTCCTTTGGATATGTAAGCTAGCATAAAAATAACACTGATATAGAGATTTCACACAAAAATCAACCAAAACCTGTTTTTTTCCTTATTTTTCTCATTGACCTGCATGTTCACTGATTTCCAGTTATATTTTAGTATTAGATATTCCATCTTATTGATATTTTGAGACTGGGCAGTAGATTTTAACTGTCACTTCTCAGTTGAGAATCAATGAAATCATAGTGCTATCAGAATAACATCCGTGAATTCTCATTCCCATCAGGCAACACCGCTTTGCAAGTGTTACTAAATACTCTTGGCTTTGTCTTAATAACGTACTCTTTTCCTTTAATATCATAGATTGTCTATGCTAGTAAAAAAGCAGGGAAAGGGTAAAAAAATAAACCAGCAAGATTTTGAGACTAAAACTCCATTTCAGGTGGTAACTTAAGAACAACAATTCATTTCTCTGGATCTAATACCAAGCATTAATTTCCAGTATTTCTGGTACTGGATATGCAGAAATTTCTGGCTAGCTTGCATTTAAGGAGGAGGCAAAAGTTGTTTTTTGAAGACCTAAAGCCAATTATTTTGTTTTGCACTGGAGTTCTAATGCACTTTAACCCCATGTTCTGAAAAGATGAATTCAAACCAAAATAAGCAGAGACAAGGAATACCAGAATGATGGAGGAGCTATTGGAGAAAATAAAACCTTTGGAATGCTTATTCTTAGCAAATCTAGGGCTAAGAGCGTATTATTTATAAAGGGCAGTCGTATCTGGCTGGAAAAATGAAACCAAACCCTACCAATCCCAGACTTTAAAGATGGAACTGGAGTCAGTTATGAAATGAGCTAAGAAGCAGCGTCTGCTAGTTACTGCCAGCAGGTAGAGATATTGCCCCACAAGGTTTGTTGTAGTTCTGTATTTGTCCCTTACCATGATAGTGGAGAGCTGAATGATGAAGTGGACACAGTGGGTAGTGGAGAAGACTGAGTCAGAGCACAGTTTCAAGGTGAGCTGCCTCTGCAGGGCAACAGCTAGATGATGGCTCACCACTCAGGTGTGGGCTTCAAGCAAAACATACTCCTTTTCCCTAAATTGCATTAATTATCTTGCAGGGAACATCAGATAGTCATTAAAGCACAGTGGTAGGAGTCATAAGGTTGGATTCTCTCTTAACACTTTCAGAGTTCTATTGTGTTTTTCTGACTTTTCTTTTTTAAACTAATCTACATCTGTAACACTGAAAATAATATTTTGCTGTCTCTCACAAGGGAGCTAACAGATAACTGATGGATTACCAAAATTAGTTTTCAAAAAATCTCCCTCTATGTCTGTAGATATCCAAACACATTTAATATCTGGCCTTAGAGCCATCCAGGTTGATAAAAGTGGTGAGGCAAGTGTTGCAGAGGTACAAAGTATTATCTCGGTTATTAAGTATACAGGTTTCCTTGGATACAAGTCAGGCTACACCACCATTTCAGCGTTGGGTATTTTTTTTTTAAACTATATGCTAATAGGCTTTTGCAAATTAATTAATAAAGGAATTGGACATACGAAAAGAATTACTTGAATGATGCCTGAAGGATTACTACTTTTTAACCTCATTTGCTTTGAAAAATTGAAAGTATGAACAAATTGTCCAGGTATGCATCTGATTCTTTAAATTGGAAAAAAAAAAAAAAAAACAAAAAAAAACCACCTTTCGTGTGGTAAAGAAACAAGGAGAGTCACCAGAGAGCTTTTCAGCATTCCATGTTTTTCCTGTTGCTAAGGAACCTTCCCTTCATCTGCGCTCAGTAAGGCATCCTCAGTAATTCTTCCATAGAAGGACGGCATTATGGATCCGTGTCAGAAAAATCAGCTAACAATAAACCAGAAAACTAGTCACTGAAATGTTTCAGCAGGAGAGTTCCCGATTTCTTTTACAAAGCCAGGGATGATTTGCAGTAGGGAGGAGCAGGGAGGAACTATTGCAAGGCTGTATGATTCCTAGTCTTGACAGAATTTCCCACAAGAGGCAAATGTAAAGAAACGAGAATAAAGCTAATCACTTGGCTTGCACTGTATAGCCTTTCTCCCATTAGCTTACCTGTTCCTGCTCAATTGTACTTTCTAAAAGACAAAACAAAAATCTCCCTCTGCAAAAGACTAGCACGTCCTTTATTACCATCTCTATTTATGACACTTTAAAGGGAGAACGAAAGAAATCACAAAAATGTCTGTATTCTAGTAGATTTCATTGTCAGTTGCATGTGTTTATTTTCAATCCACTGTATGCACACCACCATAGCTTTAAATAAAAGTATTCACAAAACAAGGTAGCACTTACCATGAGAAAGAGAGCAGAGTCTTATACTGTAAGATTTCTTATTCTTTTCCAGCAAAGGTTTACTTACTTTTGTTATGTAAGTCTTAAAATGTAAGCTACCAGCTCTTTAGTATGAAGCAAATAATATAAAAATACTGCATGTCTTAGGTGGACTTCAGAATCACAATCCTGCTGTGTTTCATGCTGCAATAAGGAGGAAGAACAGCACTGCATCTATCTCTTCCTACACACACAAGTTCTGCTAGAGGTGGAGACCACCACCAGCATTTTGCCACAGCTCCATTAATAAACAGTGCAAGAAGTGGGGTTCCTATAGGGTTACCAATCTCTGACATACCTATTACTTTATCCTGTCCATTCTCTCTAATAGTCAT